TAGGGAGGCTAAGGGAGAGGATCACAAGTTTGAGGTCAGCCTGGGCAACTTATCAAGACCCTGTCTCAAAATAAAATTTGAAAGGCTGCGGATGTAGATCAGTGCTCCCTGGGCTCAACTCCCAGCACTGAAGGGGAAATGTCAGACTTGCAAGGTTGCAATGAAGAATGAATGAAGATAATATATGCCAATACTTAGCCATTTTGTTATGTGTAATAGGTCAGCTTCTTGTCACTGTCTTATTTACCTTATTTACCTCTTCATAGTTTCTATTTCTTCATCTGTTTGATGGGGACAGGAAGACCTAACTCAGGAGGTGGTATGGGCAGTATCTGAGATAAGGGGCAGAAAAGCACCCACCTCAGAGCATCATAGTTGGGCTAGAAAGTTGAGAGCTTTCCATACCCTGCTCAGCATATTGTGCATTCTTTCCCCCACCAATTTAAGATCAGTGTGGGTGTTCTGCAAGAGCAGCCATCCACTCAGAAAAGTAGGGATAAGGTTAAAGGGGCTCCAAGGCTGGGTGTATGCTTAAGAAAGGAAGGTCCTAGGTAGCAAAGCTTCAGAGGATTCAGTCTGGTTTTGGGCAGCCGGGGGAGACACCCCGGGTTTCCATCTGTGGACATTCACAGAGCTGGATCTTGGTGAGCTCCTCCACAGAGTCCTATCTGGATCAATCCATAACCAATCAGAGAGCTAGCTGCCAGACCTAATTTTAGGCACACAGACCTAATTACCTGACATGGATGAAAATTTCCTTTATAAATTTCTTTTAATCCTATTTTTTAAATAAGTGAAAAATTTAAAACAACCACCAAAAACTCCGTGTATAGAGGTCAACTAAGGAGGCTCCTTCAGCCTGTGGCTTGTTTCCCGGTAGTCCCTGCCAGACAACACTGACTGTCGGCTGCCCTGTGGCCTGGGTTTGCCAGAGGCTGCTGCTGTTCTGAATTGTTTGACAGGCTTTGCCAAGCCTTCCCCTGAAGATGTTCCTCTCCAAGCCCATTCAGTTGACACTTAGAGCACCCTGACCAATGGGACATTCCCAGCCATCTAGGCCCAGCTCCCTTGACCTTGATCTTTCCCTTGTCAAAGCTCAGGGTATCTATTTGGTTATATAGGCCATGCCAGAGATCTTCCAAGTTTTATTTATCCCACATGTCCCATGGCATAAGCAATTATTACTACAGACTAAAGGCCACAATCAGCTGCAAGTCTGTGAGTCCTTCCTGGACCCACTGTAAAGTAGCAGTGCCTCCTTGTGGATCATTTTTAGAGATAGGAATGAAAAGTTTCATAGAAATGTCAACCTACATAGAATGTGGTGGTGCTAAATAGTATCCCATGGGTTATCCCTAGGATATGTTTTTTCCTACCATGAAGGCCAGCAACAAAAACTCCAGCAGTGAGCTCTTCTGGTTTCCACAGTCCTTGTTGACTCAGAAGAAAATCACTATCTTCTCATTTAAACAATGCCAGTGCTGTCCTAATGCCTAAAGGTCTTCTTACCTGGACTGGAAGATTTGAGCAGAGGCAGCAGACACATAAAGGGTTTTACTCTTTGTGAGTGATGAGTGACTTACTTCTGCCTTGGTATCTTATTTTTTTTTAATTTTTGGGTGCTGAGGACCAAAGCCAGGGCCTCACACTTGCTAACCAAGCACTCTACCACAGAGCTAAATTCCCCTGCCTTGATATCTTGAGGTAGACGCTGCCTCACTTACCTCCCAACATAAGTTGCAATTTTTTTTTTTTTTTGGTACCAGGGATCAAACTCAGGCACTTTCGCTTGCAAGGCAGGCAGCAGCACCACTGAGCTAAATCCTCGGCCCTAAATTGCAAATTTTTAAAGCTGGTTTTCTCTGTATTTTGCCTGTGCTGATGTGGACTTTTTCTATCAGTTTGACCGGAACATTTATGCAGCAAAATACAAATGGCATCCTTTGCCAGATGCTGCTGATACAAGCTTCAGTGGGCCCATAATGCACTCCTACCCCCTCCTTCTTGGGAAACTGTTATTCTCTTTTTCCATCTTTCAATCATCAGCTTCTCTCTGAGGCTGCCAACCACAGGCCGGAACCTCTGATAGGAGGGCATATAATGTAAGTTGATCAATCATGTCTCTACATCATATCAACATCATGGTGGACATAAACAATTTGCAGTGGGAAAATATGTGACCAAGGATCGGTGATCAGAGTCCTTTGTAAGAATTTCATGAGAAGATGGAGAAGTAGGTGGTTCCATCTTTTACTTTTTTTTTGGTCCCTGGGATCGAACTTGGGAACTTGTGCTTGCAAGGGAGGTGCTGGAACCACTGAGCTAAATCCCCAGCCCTCCATCTTTTGCCAAGAAATGAATGTCATCCAAGAGAGTCTGAGAGAATTAAGCCATGAGGAAAAATGGAAAAGTGGAAAAGAAAAAGTTGTGATCAGATAATGTTCATTTGTCCCTTTCTCTGATGTACTGGAATAAAACAGACCCTTTTAGATATGTTTGTTGGAACTGGGTTTCTGTCAGTTTCAATAGAAAGAGGCCTGATCAGAAGATTCCAAGACAGTTGAAGATCTACCAATAGTAGTTGCTGACATCCATGCCTATATCCTTTCTATTTGTGTACACACATCTGTACACAGTCTTGCTGTGGGTTAGGGGAACATGCCCTAAGAAGAATCTGATGCTATGTTTGTTATTCAGAGGAGTATATCCATCAAAACAACTAGCCAGCCTGCCTTCCTGCCTGCCTTCCTTCCTTCCTTCCTTCCTTCCTTCCTTCCTTCCTTCCTTCTTTCCTTCCTTCCTCCCTTTTGCTTGCTTGCTTTCAACAGAATCTGGCCATGCTGTCCATGCTGGTCATCAATCCCTGGGTTCGAATGATGTTCCTGCATCACCCTCCGCAGAAGCTAGAACCACATGTCCATGCCATCATGGCCAGCTGGCCTATAAGTTTGACTCTCCAGACCTCAGAGGGTGACCAATCATCCCAGTTTGCTGAGAGTGAGTGGTTTCCTGGGAGATATGAGCCTTTCATCATGAAAATCAGAACAGTCCCTGGCAAACCAAGACAGTTGTTTATCCTAGCTCAGTTCCACGTCTATAAAACAGGTTGATTTGGACAAGGATGGGAATTTTGTAAAATTCTGCACTCAGGCAAGTATTACCAGTTGAATTTGGAACTAATCCCTGAGTTTAGGTGTATCCTCACAATCTTTTGCAATCTGGCCAGCTAGTACCAATCAGACCTATTTGCCATCCTTGGACTGCAATACTGGAGATTGAACTCAGGTCTTTTCCATTGAGCTACATCCCAAGGCTTTTAAAATTTTTCTCTTTTGGGCCGGGGATTTAGCTCAGTGTTTCCACCGCCTGCCTTGCAACTGCAAGGTCCCGAGTTCAATCCCCAGTACAAAAAAAAAATTTTTTTTTTCTCTTTTGAGGCAGGGTTTCAATAAGGTGTTAAATCCCCCTGGCTGGGCTCCAATTTTTTTTTTTTTTGGTACTGGGGATCGAACTCGGGACCTTGCACTTGCAAGGCAGGCGGTGGAACCACTGAGCTAAATCCATGGCCTGGGCTCCAACTTTTGATCCTCTTGCCTCAGCCTCCCAGAGGGCTGATATTACAAGTGTGTGCCAGTACAACCAGCTTGGACTGAGTTTTTGATAAACTGGAACGTTAAAGATCAGGATTTACTTTGGACCAACTTTGAACCTACTGTCATAAACCCAGTGTCAGATTTTCTCCAGCTTGGACTTCCTTAGAACTTGTTGATAATGTTTTGTGGATTTGCTTGCATGTTTAGGTAAATATATGGACTGGCAAGAAATAGATATATAGTTGTTTTTTTTCAGTACCAGGGATTGAACTCAGGACCTTGTGCTTGCAAGGGAGGCATGGTGCCACTGAGCTAAACTCCTGACCCTTGTAGATATAATTTACCCATCCTGCCTTTTTGTTGTACTGGAGACTGAACCCAGGGCCTTTGAACTGAGCTACATATCCCGTCCTTTTACTTTGAGACAGGGTCTCACTAAGTTGCTAAGTTGTCCTGGCTGGGGTCGAATTTCGATCCTCTTTCCTTAGCCTCCCAAGTGCTGGACTGACAAAAGTGTACCACCATGCCCCCGGTTTAGCTGGTTCTTTAGAAATTTAAAACTTAGCTGGCCTTAGTGGCGCATGCCTGTGATCCCAGCACTAAGGAAGCTGAAGGAGGAGGATTGGTGTGAGTTCAAGGCTAACCAGGGCTACATAGTGAGTCCAAAGCCAGCCTGGACTACATAGCCAGAGTATCAAAAAAACAAACATACAAAAACCTTAAACAAACAAAAAGAAATTTATTTTTTTTATTTTTTCACAAAAAGAAATTTAAAATTATTTAGAGTCCATCATGTGCTTGGCCTACATAAAGACTCTAATGCTAACACTCTGAGCTAAAATGTGTCTACATTTTAGAAATTAGGAATCGGGCTTGGCAGTTCAGTATACGTCTAAGGTCCTACTCATCAGGCAGGGGAGCTACATCCCATCTAAGGCCAGTCTGACTCCACCTCTGATCTTCGACGTGCACAGTCTACACTCCTCCCCGTGGGTTTAGGGATACAAGGTCGTCAGGGATTTAGGTTTCCCTGCATTCAAGAAGCAATATGGGGTCACTCTGCGAGGCTGGGGAGTCCAGAAGTTCCAGATGGCCAAGAAAGGGCGGAAAAAGAGACATGCAGGGCAACTCTCGGTTGCCAAAGGGCAGGAGGATCCCCACAGGATAGCTGTACACTGCGTTAGTGGCCTGCGGACAGGCAAGAGGAAGAGAGCTACGCTGCGGAAGCAGCTCAGGTTCCTTGCAGCCCAGCCGCCCCGCAAGACAGCGGGTAGCGCATGCGCGGCGCGGGCCACGGAGTTGTGAATGGTACGTCTTGTTTGCTGGAGTTTGAGGCGGGCGGGCGCTCGAGAAGGAGGGGTGGGGCCAGGGGGCGGGGCGGACGGGCGAGTGAACGAGGTGGGCGGTGAGAGGAAGTGGCGGCGGTGGCGGCCGGTGGCGGCCGGGGGCGGCGTGAGTTGGGTCTGCGCGGGCGGTAGGCAACGGCTGAGGCGGCGTGGGTTGGGCTCGAGCCGGCGGCTGCACTTCGGACTCCCTGGAGCGGGAGCCCACGCGGGCGGGCGCCCTAAACAAAGAGAAGTGGGAGTCCAGGCGCCGCGGGTGGGCGGTCAGTCGGCCAGCGCGGAGCCGGGCCAGCGGGTGCCCGCGCAAGCCCGAAGCTTGGCCCGGTGGGCGCGGACACAGAGCGGGAAGATGCCGCGCGTCGTGCCCGACCAGAGAAGCAAGTTCGAGAACGAGGAGTTTTTCAGGAAGCTGAGCCGCGAGTGTGAGGTGAGGCGGGCGGGTGGCGGCGGAGGCCGCAGCGCGTCCCGAGTGGGCCCGGGGGGAGAAAAGTTTGGGTGGCGCGGTCCTCACGAAGCCGGGCCGGCATGCCGGGGAGGGGCAATCTCGCCGGGGCGGCCGCCGCCCGCACACTCCGCTAGCTAGTCCTTATCGGCGCCGCGCGGGGTGGGCGGGCGGCGCCGCGGATTTGACTCCTGATTTCAGGCCGTCCCTTCTTTGCAGATTAAGTACACGGGCTTCAGGGACCGGCCCCACGAAGAGCGGCAGATGCGCTTCCAGAACGCCTGCCGCGACGGCCGCTCCGAGATCGTAAGTCGGCGGGCGGACGCGGGGACTGAGCGCGCGCGGTCACTTGTTGCGCGGGGGCCGAGCGGCCCAGGCGGGTTCCGTACGGCGCCACGGACGCCGCCGCTCCCGGAACTAAGCGGGCGCCGACTTACTTCCTACTCGGGATTCAAAAGGAGAAAACCAGAGGCTGACGTGCAGGTCCTCGCGGAGACACGCTTTTCCTGTGGCCTCGCCGCAGTGGCTCGTGTTTCCCAGAGCTGGCTTGGTGGACAGGTTGACCGCGAGTGTATCTAGAACCCGAGCCAAAATAAACAAGCAGAGGTCTTGGATAGGCTGTGACACCGATAAGTGTTCGGGGTACTTACAGGAAGAAAACAGCTATTAGGAAAAATCGTTCAAGATCAGAGATAGTTTGATTCTATTTTTATTCTTCTTTTTGCAGTACTCGGCATTGAACCCAGGGTCTGTGCACCGAGCTAGATCCTCAACCGTTTTTATTTTTTAATTTGAGACAGGGTTTGGCTGAGTCTCTAAATTCCCCAGGGTGGACTTGAACTTATGACCATCCTGCCTCAGCCTCCTAGAGTACTGGGATTATAGGCGTGTGCCATTATGCCTGACTGGGTAGTTTAATTCTTAGAAGCTAGATTTGTTGGTAAATCTTTATAGGAAAGTATCTTGCTCCCAATATAGGTAAGAATACATCTTTATTCCACTTATCTCTTGTCCTTATGGGAAGGTGCTAAAGGATGTGCTGTTTTCTTAGAATATTATTAACCTTCAGGAGAATCAGAAAGAGACCATTATTGTTTCTTTTCTAACCTAAATATATCTCATTAGTGCTGCAGTTTACATAAAAACGGCATGATTTGCCATAGTAGATCTCTTTGAGGCCTCTGCCTCTTCTCCATCAAGCCTTAGGTTGAAAAAAAATCCATGTGTCCTAACTCCTCTTTTGGACTTTGTGCAGTTGAGATGCTAATGAGTCAATGATAGGAAGAAACTAGAAAAGTTGATTATTTTTTTTAAAAGTTAAAGCACTGTATTGTGGAATCCTGTTATCTTCATGGTGATTTGGGCCCATTGCCTTGGCAAAACTTAAAAAAACTAAGGTTCTGTTTGAACTGAAGATACCAGTTGGAAGACAATGGAAAATGTATCCCCCCTCCTACTTTATAACCAGTTACTTATTTTTATTGAAAGTTAATTTGGATACTATAAAATTCTCCCCCTTTTTTTTTTTTGGTACCTGAGATCGAACTTGGGTCCTTGTGCTTGGGAGGCAGGCAGTGGAACCACTGAGCTAAATCCCCAGCCCAATTCTCCCCTTTTTTGACATCAAGTCTTACTGTGTAGTCTAGACTGGCCTCGAACTCATAGCAGTCTTCCTGCCTCAGTCTCCCTAGTTCTGGGATTACAGGTGTACACCTCCACGCTCAGCTCAGATTTATTTTTAAGTAATATTCAATATTTAAAATGAAAGGTTTGGGGGATTACAGGACAGAATATGAGATGATACTGGTTAAGTTTATCAGGAGCTCTAGAATAGGTGATCATTAATACATATTATAAAAGAAATTCTCTTTCAGCCCATCTCCAAGTTTCTTGAGTACTTGTAGCAGTTATGTAATTCAAATGTATAAGACAAATATTTTTTGATTTTATTCCTGAATGGTAGAAAAAAGAACCAGTGGTCCAGTGATGGTGTTATTCTTTGGGTTTTCTTTTGCAAAAGGTGGATAGAAGCCAGGCATGGTGACACATACTTGTAATCCCAGTACTGTGGGAAGTTGAGATAGGATGTAGGATTGCAAGTTCAAATCCAGTCTGGGCATCTTGGTGATTTAGAGAGACACTATGCCAAAATAAAAAAGGGGAAGAGATGTAGCTCAGTATGGAGTCCCTGGATTCAATATCCAGTATTAGGGGAGAAAAAGAGAAAGAAAAGAAAAGGTGGATGGTATAACTGTTGAATTTCCTGGAGGTAATTGATGTTAAGGGTAAGAGATGAGATACGAAGTACTGTCACTATCTCCTCCCCCCACACCCGCCACTGGGGATTGATCTCAGGACCTTGCAGGTTTCGGGGCAAGCGTGGTGCCACTGAGCTAAATCCCCAACCTGTTGTCACTGTCTTAAAGCTGAGGTTTTCCAGAAACCCAGGGAAGCATAGCCAGTAGAGTGTTTTTTGTCACATCAGATGTTTTGCATGTGATTATGAATTGGAGATATAATTCAACCCACAGTATATCTGTTATTGCTACAAGAGTATAGCAGCATTTATAGGTTCCTGTGTTTGTCAAATTTCTTTCCAGAATGAATTAGACATACTAGCTAGGTCTTCTCCTCCAAATATCTGATCACACAAATTTTTACAAGTTACGTTTAATTTGTTTTCTGACAAATATGAAAGGTTAAAGAGGGTAGATTGAATTCTGTAAGATTCAGACTTAAGACAGAAACGTGTTCTTTTGTTGAGTTAATGTTAACATTATTTGGGAAATCTGGATGTGGTAACACGTTCATAATCCTAGCACTCAGGAAGCTGAAGCAGGAGGATCACTGTGAATTCAAGGTCAGCCCGAGTTACAGTGAGTTCAAGGACACACTGAACTACACAGCAAAACCCTGTGTCAAAAACAAAGACAAAAACCCAACAATAAAAAAATAAGATCCTTAACTACTAGGGGGTGAGGATAGTATTCTGATATACCTCTTTGGATACACATATTTTACATGATGCCTTTTGTATCAGAGGTGCTTAATTTATTTGAATTTAGAGGTTACATAATTTAATGCCTGAAATTGGTCTTATTACTTACAAATAGACTATGGTTTCTGCCTGTTGTGGAAAAGACATTATTTTGCCTCTAGTTTGACAGTAGTCATATATGGCAAGAATATATATCGTTTTCAGAATTTACCAGTCCTTCTGGTCAATTGCTTTTCTTTTTTCTCTTTTGATTTTGAATATCTCCTTAATGTGCCAGTGAAGTTAGTAAAAAATTAATTTTATGATTAAATGTGAAATACAGTAATTTAAAGATTGTAGCACTTTTGTTTACTACAAAATTCAGACTCCTTTTCACATCATTAAATAGTGATTATAGATGAGAAGTAGACTCTATTTGGTAAAATTTGATTTATTCCTTTGTGAATTTTTATTGTAGTAACAGTGTAGGAAATATGGTCAAGACTAATAATTAATAGAAAGTACTTATATGAGACATGGTAACTAAGGTGGGGAGAGTAAAACAAATTATTTTTTGTGATACTATGGTTTGGACCCAGGGCCTTCACACTGAACTACATCCCAAGCCTTTTGTTTTTCTTGTTTTTTGGAGACACATTCTCACTATGTAGTTCAGGCTGACTTTGAACTCACTTTAGCCCAGGCTGGCTTCTGATTTCACAGTTACCCTCCTACCTCAGCCTCCCAAGTGCTGGGATTACAGTTTGTCCCACCATGCCAGCTCTAATACGTTATTTACTCTGGGGTGGGGTTTTTTGGTTTTTTGGTTTATGGTTTTTGTTTTTTTGAGGCACTATATATCCCAGGCTGGCCTTGAATTTGCTGTGTAGCTCACGCTGGCCTAGTACTCATGACAGTCCTCCTGCCTCAGCCTCCTGGGTGTTAGAATTACAGGCATGTGCTATCACGCCTTGCTTCTAATACTTTCTTTTTTTTTTTTTTGGTACCGGGGATTGAACTCAAGTCCTTGCGCTTGATGGAACCACTGAGCTAAATCCCCGACCCCTCTAATACATATTTTTAATCCTGACAGTTAAATGGTAAAAAGTATATTCAGTTGGCATAAAGTATGTTATTTTATCAATTTATAAAGCCTCTAAAATATAGTTAGGATAACTTGAAAACCTTACATACAAACATTATACCACTGTACCATTTAATGTTTTCAAGAGTAATTTTCCCTGTTCTTATGTATGTGTGGGCATTAAATTAAAAAACAAGTTCCAGGCTGGGATGTAGCTCAGTGGTAGAGTGCTTGCCTACAAGGGAAAGACCCTGGGTTTCACCTGGCACTGCAAAAGAAAAAAAGTTTCATGGTCAGATGAGTTTGGAAAATGCTGTTCTATCCAGGGGTGGTAGTGTACACCTGTAATCCCAGCACTTGGGAGGCTGAGGCAGGAGGACTGCTATGAGTTTAAAAAAAGAAAATGCTGTTCTAGAATGATTAGTTTTTGCCACTTTCTCTCACAGCGGAATCTTGATAAGATAATGGGCATAAAGTGGTGAAGCTGGAGATCTCTCTTGAGATTGGTACTGAAATAAGAGGTGAGGCAATAAGATCTGCAGAATGTCTTAGTCCAGAGCAGATGGGGCATACGAAGGTAGAAGGATTTGCTACTGAGTGAAGCATAGTACTGAAGAAACATGCCATAGGGATTTTGACATAGGACATTTGTTTAGGGGCTAAAAGTCTTATTTGCCATCAGTCTGCTCTGAGACTTCTAATATTATATAAGGCTGAAAATGATGACTAATCTCAAAATGATTTATTGTAAACCAAGTGTGTGGGCACTTGTCTATAGTTTCAGCTCCTGTGGAGTCTGAGGCAGAAGGATCTTATGTTGGGGGGGGGGTTCCTTTTTTTTTTTGGTAACTGGGGATTGAACTCGGGACCTTGAACTTGTGAGGCAGGCGAGTTGCCACTGAGCTAAATCCCTGGCCCTATTTTTCTGGTTTTTGAGAAAGGATTTTGCTCTATATCACAGGCTGTCCTCAAATTTGTGATCCACCTACCACAGCCTTTTAAGTGTTAGGATTACAGGCATGTGGCACCTTGCCCAGCTAGGAGTATCCTTTGAACCCAAGATTTGGAGGCTGGCCTGTGGAAGGATATTGAGAAGCTCATCAGACAAAAGTGATTTCTTTTATATTATTCAGCAAATATTTACTTAGATTTTACTTGGTACTGTTCTAAGCACTTTACAGATACCTATTTGTTAGGAGACTGAGGTTTCCCTCCCAAATTCTGCTTTTTGTTTTTCATTTGAACTAGTGTTAGTGGATAAAACCTATGCTAATAGTTCATGGATTTTTTTTAAAGTTACTGTTATAATATTGATGTTCAGTTTCTCTTTGTAGAAACTACCATGAGAAAAGGGTATCCCAGTTATTAGAGAAATTCCGTCAGAAGTATAGAGATTTAGCAGTTAGGTTGATAATTGTACCTATACTAATAGCAATAGAAATCAGAAGTACACATATTTAGCCTGGACTACAGAGTTAGACTCTGTTGGCTTTTTTAAGAAAAGAAGATAAAATTTATAGCCCCTGAAGGATAAACTATTAACCGTTAGAGGAATTAGTAAATAACTATCAGCTAATGGTTTTGTTTTTTTTGTTTTGATTTTTCTTTGGGGGGGGGGATCGAACTCAAGACCTTGAGCCTGCCAGGCAGGAATGGTGCCACTGAGCTACATCCCTGGCCCCTTGTTTCAATTTTTGAGACAGGGTCTCACTATACAATTCAGGCTGGCCTTGCATTCACCATATGGCCCAGGGTAGTCTCGAACTCTTGGCAATCCTCCTGCCTCAGCCTCCCAAGTGCTGGGATTGCAGACATGTGCCACCATATTCAGCCCTCAGCTAATAGTTTTAAATAAATTGCCCAAAATGTGAATCTCAAAACAAATGATGATTGAGAACTTAGCCAAATAAACCAAACAAAACTTTCTGTGGTTATAGCAAAAAAGTTTACCTTTCTTTTTGGCAGTTCTGGGGACTGAACCCAGGGCCTTTACACTGAGCTACATCCCTGGTCCTTTATTTTTATTTTGAGACAGTAAGTTGCCCAGGCTGGCTGGAACTTGCAGTCCTCCTCCCTCAGCCTCCCAGAGTACTGATATTACAGGTGTGTGCCACCATGCCTGGCTAAGAGTTTATGTTTAGATGAAAAAAAACGTTTTTAAAAAATACGCTTTTTACTTCCTTTCTGTATTTCCCTTGATACAAGGAGTAATTTTTGTGTGTGTGTGTGGTATTGGCGATTTAACCCAGGTATTTTTACTTATTTCCTTCTTTCTGTATTTCCCCCTGGTAAGAGTAATGACTTGATATTGGGGGGGGGGGAGGTACTGGATGTTGAACCCAAGGCCACACTGAGCAACATCCCCAGGACTTTTTTTATTTTTTCTTTTGAGATGGTCTCACTAGCCTGAGGTCAAACTTTAGCCTCCCAGAGTTCTGGAATTACAGGAATATGTCACCATGTCACCATTACATCTGTTTTTTACATAGATGAAATACAAAATTAAATTGCTCAGGGGCTACATAGAATACTTTATTGAAATGGTTTTAGATTCTTTTTTAAGCGATGTCATTTGAATCTTATAAATATTAGATGAATACGCAGTGCTTTTTATTAATAGTCACATTCATTTCTTCTAAGGTAAAACTGGAAAGTGCATATTTTTTAAAGACTAGTCCTTATTGTCACATCGCAGGCCAATATGTATAGCTTTTCACAGGAGAGACAATCCCTTGTGCATTTTTTTTAACATGAGCTTTAAAGCATATGCTTAAAAATGCACTTACGTACTGCATTTTTTATGTGCTACATATCATTCATGGTTTCCTTGAGCAAAAGGAATCAAGAAAAGTCCACACTTCTCATACAGGTTTTAATTGTGGTATGCTTTAAAATTCAAAATCTTTAGATCATATTTAAAAACATAAGTTTTTAAGTACAAGGACAGTGGCTTCTGGTTAGACATTAGCAGTGCGAGATCCTAACATCAGCAAAAAATGTCCTGAAAGAAAGTATTGATTCCACGTCTGATTTTATATTTAAGCAACCAATGGCAAATGTCCTCAAAATGGAATCAGATGTTTGTAACTTAATACTTAAGAAAAATGATGAGTGCATGTTTTTTTACTTTTAAGTATTCTTAGTGCTGCCTGGCTTAAGACATAAACTGATGTAAAAATAAATGACTGCCTGCATAATTTATGTAATGTGTCCTGCTCCTGATCCTGTTTGTATTGATTTTTCTAAAAGGCTTTTGTGGCCACAGGAACCAATCTGTCTCTCCAGTTTTTTCCGGCCAGCTGGCAGGGAGAACAGCGACAGACACCTAGCCGGGAGTATGTCGACTTAGAAAGAGAAGCAGGCAAGGTAGGAAACATTTCTTTGCATCTTAAAATACTATGAATTGTTTTATTAGAGGTTATCTGATGATTACATTACTATGTTATTATATTATTAGCAATCCTAAGTCTGATTATGCCAGCAAGTGATGAAGTTTGTTTTCATTCCATGATACAAGGATGTAATACAATTTTTTTAAACCACAGTTAAACTTCTATGTTATGCCTTTACTAATTTCATGTATATAATATTCGCTGTAGAATGGGTTAGCCCATAAAGAAAGTAGTGTGCTTTTCTATATTTAACCTTTAAATTTTAATTCCTTTAAAGGTGTTGATAAATTTTTTGTTTACTAAAAATAAGTGTGACTCCAGTGCTGTAAAAAATAAAATTAAGAGAAAAGTGGGAAAAAGCTCTGTAGGCTTAAAATTTCATAGTATTTAGGAATTACTTGTAAGTAACTAATTCTTTTAATATAACAGGTTTAATTTGGGGAAAACAATCTGAAAACTTTAACTTGGAAATAATTTAAAAAATTATAAGGATGTAGGGTCGGGGATTTGGCTCAGTGGCGCCTGTGCCTGCCATGCAAGCATAAGGTCCTGAGTTCGATCCCTGGTACAAAAAAAAAAATAAGGATATAAAAAGTTCTGAAGATTAAGTTTCTGGGAAAACAGTTTTGTTTTGTTTTGTTTTTGATACTGGGGATTGAACTCAGGATGTTGTGCTTGTGAGGCAGGCAGCGGCACCACTAAGCTAAATCCCCGGCCCGTGGACTTAAAATTTTTAAAGAAAATAATATTTTTTGCAGCCCATTGTATACTGTCTTTCTTCTATTTCCAGTATGTATATCTATTTCTATCAACTTTATGTTACTTTTCTCATCAGAGCAAGGTCCCGGGTTCAATCCCCAGTACCAAAAAAAAAAGTTACTTTTCTAAGTGTCATATTAAGTACATTACCTATCAATTCATTTGTAAAACGTAAGAAATGTCTAAATATTAATTAAAGACTTGTATTAGGCTGTATTAAGGAAAGGTTTCTAATCTTGCATATATACAATGAAGAATTTTTTGTTTAATTTTATGAAATTAGATTTGATCTTTTGGGTAACCAACTAATCTTTGGATTGGGAAAAGGAAAACAGATTATGGGATTTAAAAAATAATAATAAGCAAGTAATTTGCTTTCCTGTGCTTTAGCTCACTTTATTGGAAATTTAAGGCAAATTTACCAATTTCGCTACTTGGTAATTCTTATATATATATATATATATGGAAAAACTTGGAAGTCATTGTAAGATTATGATGTCTGTCTGGTGCATGTATGTTTGGCTAAATGAAAAAAATATTTTTTCCTTGTTCAAAACACTTCCTTAGATCTTGGTGCAGTGGCTCATGCCTATAATCCCAGCGCTTGACCAGTCTGGACACTGTATTGAGACACTGTAAAACAAAACAAAAAACACTTCTTCAAAGTTTGTTTAATGTAGGTAGGTAGCTCACACACTTAAAGGCATAAACCAAAAATACTTTGCTTTCCCCTCAGCTCTTTTTTTTTTTTTTTTTTTTTGGTACCGGGGATCGAACTCAGGACCTTGCGCTTGCAAGGCAGGCACCGGAACCACTGAGCTAAATTCCGGTCACCCCCCACCCAGCTCTTAATACTAAACTATTTTTAGACTTCAAGATTGACATCTCAAAGTTACTAAAGTCTTCCAGTATTTAATAACTGATAAATGGATGTTAATACTGCTAGAAGGTATGTTTGCTTGAATTAATAAAATCTGGTGACCAGTTTGAAGACTGCATTATCCATGTACTTATGCTAATGAGATGTTTTCAGTTTTACAACCAAAAGTAACAAAAATGTTAGGTGGTTCATTAACATTGATTTCAGAAGTTTCTTTTTCTGTAAAGGGACAGAGAGTAAATATTTTCAGTTTTTCAGGGTTATGGTGTCTATGATAGCTATTCACCTCTACCATTGGTTTGTGGTGTGTAAGGAGCCAGTTTAGTGTGTAAACAAGTGTGACTGTGTCCCAAGAATAGTAACATTTAAGGCAAGAAAAATAGAGCCAGGCATGGTGGTGTACACCTCTAATTTCAGCACTCTGGGAGGCTGAGGCAGGAAGATCACAAGTTCTAGCTCCACCTGGGAAGTTTAGCAATGTGGCAAGACCCTGTCTCAGAAATAAGAAAACAGCTGGGGATGTGGCTCAGTGGAAAGGTCCTGGGTTCAATCCTCAGCACTGAAGGAAAAGAAAGAAGACAGACAAAAGAAACAATCTTCCTACTAGTAAATTGTTGCATGCCATTTGGACATAGTACTCCAATTCATTAATCATTCTGCAGATGACTGGTACCCAGGACCTTTGTACTAATCTACATCCACTATTTTTTTTTTTTTTTTTTTTGGTATTTTTTAAGATGAAATCTCACTGAGTTGTCTGGGCTGGGCTCAAACTGAGTTCTTCCTCCCTCAGCCTCCTTAAGTACTGTGAGCCTCACCTAGCTTTCCAATACATTTAGAGGAAAGGTACTGTCCTGCATATTATCATCTATGCAGCTCAGGGCTCTTTTATTTCTTTCTTCCCTTGTTAAAGTGTCTTTTTATAGCCAGTAGATTTTGTTTCTGTCTTCATAGGACTAGGACTAGAAGCAAAGAAAATTGAAGGAACTTCCCCAAATGTTAATTGTTTTTCTCTGCTTCTTATATTGGATCCCAAATGAGTATCATCTTCCCTGTTCTCTCAATTTAGCTACCTACTAAAGCAGATTCTTTTTCTTTCTTTTTTTTTTTTTTTTTAAGCAGATTCTTTTTCTTCACCATCAAGGGGGAAGGATATTTACTTTTTTTCCTTTTTTCAGTGGTACTGGGGATTGAAACACAGGGCCTTTGTATTGCACTACATTGCTGGGCCCCAGGCTGGACTCAGACTTTCAAATCTCCTGCCTCAGCCTTCCAGAGTGCTGAGGTTACAGGCATGTGCTACCACACCTGGCTAAAAATTGTGGTTTTTGTTTTTATTTTTGTTCTTTCAGACAGGGTCTCACCATATCCTTCAGGCTGGCCTTGAACTCACTGTGTAGCCCAGGCTGGCCTCAAACTGTGGTTTTAAATAGATAGTTCTGTGTAAGGAAGTTTGCCTATGAGCAGAGACCTGAAGGAAGTTTGGAAATGATGCAAGTGTCTGAGGTGAAAGATGTTCCAGGCAGAGGAAATAGCCATTGTAAAAGGTCCAGGATGATAAAACAGTGAGCAGGACATATGACTGGTTAGACTGCAAGAGAGCAGAAAGTGAGATCAGGGTGATAATAAGAAGACAGTTTGGGTGACTGTGGTAGGCCATTGTAATGATGTGAACTTTTATTCTGAGTGAAATGGGGAGTGGGTTCAGGTTTTTGAGCAGATGAATGACATGGTCTGTGCTAGGTTGTGACAGGATCACTAGCTTCTGGTTGATAATAGACTGTAATGGGTGAGAGTGAAGCAGGGAGGCCAGTTTGACTATTGTAGCAATCTTGGCTAGAGAATAGGGTGGTAGCAGTGGAAGTAGTGTGAGGTGGATGTGTTTTGAGATAAAGCAGACAGGATTTGTTTATGGATTGAATGTGGTGTATGAGAGAGGAGTTAAGAATGACACCAGCTCTTTGAGTAGAGCAACTGGAAGTATAAAGTTGCCATCATCTGAGATAGTGGATGGAGCAGGGAGTGGGTTTGGTCAGTCTGGGACAATGGTGGCAAACTATGGTGCTCACGCTGCAGTGGGCATGCAGAGCCCTCTCTGTCAGTAGCAAGCCAAGTTGCCCCATGTTGCCCCAGCAGCTCAGCATTGGATAACAGCACATAAAAAAGCACACCAAATCCAAGCTTGCATCTCTCAATAAAAAGCTGTTTATATCATCAAAAGCTCTGTTACTGTTTTTAAGACAAAAGATGGGGCCGGGGATTTAGTTCAGTGGTTTCGCCACCTGCTACGCAAGTGCAAGGACCCAAGTTTGATCCCCGGTACCAAAAAAAAAAAAAGACAAAAGATGTTAATGTATGAATTTTTTCTAAACTAAAATTTCGGTATTCAGGTTTAATTGCAGTGTTGGCACTTTGTGATAATTAAGTGGGTTTTGATTTGCAGTTTAGGCAGTCGGTCTCTAAAAGGTTTGCCACCTCTAGTCTAGGGCATGTGAATTTTTTTTTTTTTTTTTGAGACAGGCTCTTCCTATGTAGTTCAAGGTGGTCTTGAGCTCACTGTGTACCTGGGATGGCCTTGACTGACAATCCTGCATCAGCTTCCCAAATGCTAGGATTATAGGTGTATGTACCACCATGCCCTGCTGAGCATATGAATTTCTGATGGTAACTTGTTACTGCAGCTTTTGTTTCTTCACCATTAACTTCTAAAGCTGACATTGCTTTCATAAATGACCCTTCATCTGCTTGTCTCAAAAATTTAGTGGCCTTTAAAAAATAGCTTTATTGAAATATAGTGTAATTTACAGTCAATAAAATGCACCCAATTTTATTGTATAATTTGAGTTTTTAACAAATTTATGCACCCATGTGGATCCTACCACAACTAGTCCCCCCACCCCTGATGTTCCTTCATGTCCCTTTTAGAGGAATCTGGGAGTGGTGTGGCTCAGTGATTCTGGCTCATGGTCTCTCATGAGGTTGCAGTCAAGCTGTTGGCTGGGGCTGTGCAGTCTCTGAAGATGTGACTAAGAGCCAATGGACCCACTTTGAAACCCACTTGTGGCTCCAGTTCCTAAGTGTGTGTCCTCTATAGAGAGAAAAAGAATGAAGTTACCATGCCTTTTTTTTTTTTTGGTACTGGGGATTGAACTCAGAACCTTGAGCTTTCGAGGCAGGCGCCAGAACCACAAGCTAAATCCCCGGCCACCATGCTTTTTATGATCTGTTTTCTGAGTCCCTTGCCTCTTCTCCTCTTCATTAGAAGCTGTTCACTAAGTTTAGCCCACACTAAGCGTGGAGAGGAGCTACACATGGGTGGGAACACCAGGAGACTG